AAGTCAGTCAATTCAAGTCAGTCAATTCAAGTCAGTCAATTCAAGTCAGTCAATTCAAGTCAGTCAATTCAAGTCAGTCAATTCAAGTCAGTCAAGTCAGTCAGCCGCCTCCAATCAATCATATACCAGTCAGTCAGTCAATCACCTGGGCAGTCATTCAGGTCAGGTCAGGTCAGGTCAGTCAGTCAATCACCACCATTACCACCTTAAATCAGTCAATTCAACAGTCAATTCAACAGGCACCTACCTTCACCTACCTTCAGTCACCTACCTTCAGTTCAGTCAATTCAGTCAGTTCAGTCAATTCAGTCAATTCAGTCAATTCAGTCAATTCAGTCAATTCAGTCAATTCAGTCAATTCAGTCAATTCAGTAATTAATTCAGTAATTCACCAGTCAATTTACCAGTCACTTCAGTCACCACCAGGGCTAATTAATCGCTGCCGGCCCGCAACTGCTTCTGCCAGCCGATAACGATCGTAGGCTAGCTCTACCACTCGCTGGCAGCTGTCACCGCAGCCACTGCTGGCGTGCACCTAGCAAAAAAAATGAAGGGGGGGAGGGTTTTGAGAGAGTGAGCGCTGTAGGATTCCGCAGTCCCAGACGACAATGTGGGAAAATTTCCGTATCGACACCCAACTTCACCAATAACCAGCAAACAAGTACCAATCACCACATGCACAATGAGCCAACAGGTATGCTGTCGTTCAATGTTCCAATGTGCACAGAGCTATCTCAACATCACTAACGCATACAAAGCATCGTGATAGACGTACAAGCAGAACCCTGTGAACAAAGCTTTGTTTTTGTCTGGAAAAAGAAAGAAAAAATGGCAAAAGTCATGGGCGATATTCCCCCACTCCGGATCGAACGAAGGACCTTCTCATAACTTGCTCGGAAGGTACAAGTGAGACGCGACTACCACTACGCCATAGGGGAATGATCTTATTTGTTGAATTGTGGGATGTTAACCTGTACTACCACTCCGAGACCCCAAAAAGCTGCCTTGGTGTGACCGGATAGCAAATCTAGTGGGACCCGTTAGGGTTAGCCAGGCCCAGACCAAGCCTAGTGATAGGTCACAAGCAATTTGGAGCTTTGGGGAGGCTTGTGTGATTAGGAAAAGGGGGCTGTCTCCTCGAGATGGAGGGTGAATTGCATCCCTTTTCACACATTTGAGGGCGTCTTTTAATTCACGAAACGTATATCACGAGGCTTAAGATCATCCAAACAACTGGGTTTTCCAAGGGAAACGCTTTGTTCACTTCGTTATATGTCACTCTTTTTGTGTTGAACCATGAGCAGCATACCGCAGCTTTGTGGCGGGGGAGCTACCGCCAGCGCCCGTAGCCCACCCAGCTCGCCAGCTATCTTGGGATTGATTCAATTGGCGTCATGCGAACACAGGCGCCATGAATCTTATCCCTGCGCCAGACCCAGGACTGCGTATATAGTGCTCGCAATAAATTAACTGCTTAATGTGTAAAAGTGCTTAATCTATAAATATTTTGGGAAACACATGATCCGACCAGACTAAATACGTGGACCGTTCCCTTCAGTTGCCGCCACAGGTCGATACTCAGGTACCTACCTAGTCAGAAGCATGCTGCACCTACGGAGTACATCAGGTGTTGCCGGCAAGAGCACGGATCCGAACTACCAGCGCCAGAATGTTTGCATGGTCAGGTCGGAGAGCAATAGGTCCATCGGTCAGCGGCCGGGCAATATCCTTTCAGCGCATCAACACCGCCTTGTATTGCCTGTCGACTTCTGAGTTGGAAATTTACTCCATGCCTCTCAATGCGGCCCACTCTGATTCCAGCATGCCATAGGTCATTCTATCATGCCACTGACGGTCGAAATAGAGCGATTCGCGCTGGCGGCCCTCTTCAACAAATCCAAGCCGTTGGTATAGGTGCATGGCACGCTTATTGTAGGAAACGGTCCCGATCTCAACACGATGATAACCACCAAGTCTGAACGCCCACTACACCGGCTGAATCAGCTTAGACAACATCTACGTACGGCGCGGATTTGGGAAGAGACGTCCTCGCAAACTTCTCGCGCACGTAGGAAAAGATCCTCAAGACAGACTGCTTACGTCTAGAGCCCAATTGATGGCTTCGCCGCCGTAGCCCTGGTTCTGGTAAGGAGGTGCTAAAGCAATGCTGATAGATGTTGTGCGATTTTGAGCTGTAGACGCAGACCTGCCGCCCCAACCAACACCAATGAATCCAATAGGCGTGGGTTTCGCGTCCTCGCTCGGTAGATATATGAGGACTCCTAACTCGGCTTTGTTGAGGATAGCGATGATCTCCTCGCTATGCATCATGGCTTTTGGTCGGATCACCCTAATCTCACTCAACGCCAAGCCAACTGCATCACTGCTAATATTAGTGTGAATGAAGTTCTTTGTCTGTTCATCGTTCTCGGGCGGATGATAGACCAAGCGCTCGGAGCGCCAGTTATTGGCGAGGACGCTGGTTGTCTCCATCATGTAGATTGCCCTCTACCGACATCAGATGATGCCAGTCGCGTCTTACGACGTGTATATATGAGATATATATATGATCCGTCGCTGATCCGAAATTTTTATATTTCGCGGTTGGAAGAGTCTGACTCATTGTGCGATCCTTCTCAGACGTTGCTGACCTTTACTTCTCTAGCTGAGGCCATATGAGTCATCCACACAGCGCCACAGTCTGTTATGTTACATCGCTATATTTTCTCGGGATTGCATATCATCACAGATCGAAACCCACTTTTGCCCCGTAAGGGGTTTATATTCTGTAGACGGAAACTCATTGTGCAGCTTCTCCCACATTGCGTATTTTAAGTATACGCCAACCTCAGTATGTAAATGTCTCTAGTGACCTTAGTAATACGCGAACAGCAAAACGAAAGCGAGTTACGAGCTAGTATCTCCTTATATGCCGCTTCTTGACCATAATATGCACTATCCTTTACTTCGGCGAGTAGGAAGACGGTGGTTGCAATAGGATCCATGCCTTCACATGGCATCGCAAGACACTTTATTCTAGATTGGTTACAATGAGTAACTCGTTATCTCTCTACAAGTGGCATAGTTCCTTGCGCATTTGAGATGTATCGTATGCTAATGCCCACGCAATTTACGTTGCCGGACAAGCGATCTTGAAACCTCGTCGTAGACGATGACGGAACACAGCGAAGCTATACATGTCTCCCACTAGGTATTGACACAACAGTGAAGCGACATGTCGTTCATGGCCGTCCAGGGGCGGTTGTCCTAGGCTTATCAAGGTTGTCTAGGATAAGTTGAACCTCTTCATCGGCCGTCTCGAGGATATGCTCAGGAGGATGAACAGGCTTCCAGTTTAGTTCCTTGGCTCCTCTGACCGCCGTGAATGTGCAGCTAGAATTAATGTTAGCAACGCCACGGCACGCCTAAATCATAACTAACGAACGAACTGCTTACCTTCCTCCAATATGGATAGTGACTAGAGGCGCTGGGACACCAAGAACCTTACCCATTGCTTCCAGACTTTCGTCATTTGCGGTATGAACGCCTTCGTCGGCAACAGCACCACGTTTGGCCATAGCTTTTGCCATCTCTGCGTATAGGTCGTCCCACTGGAGATGAACCATGTTAGGATAAGAAACACCCATTAGTTATGAACAAATTTCTTACAGCGACACTTCCTGAAGCGGCCAGGTAGTAACCATTCTTTCCATTGCTTGGGCGCTCGCCAGCCAGGATACTGCGCATAAGAGCTAAATACAGCGCGGTATTATCCGACACATGACAAACAGGCCATGTCTTGAAATTCAAGTCAGTTCCAACACACCACGACATGATTCATAGTTTTGACTTACAGGTCGATCCGTCTCGGTGCGATATACGCGCTTCACAGCTTTTGCTGCTTTGACAATGGCGACTGTCTGAATCGAGATGATATTGCCGAATCCTTCTCCCTTGCCGTCTGTAACTTGCGATCAGCCCAAAACATGATAAAATGGCCATGATCGACTGATGCTCGCAACCTACACACGATACATGGCGCAAAGATATAACTCAGTACGCCATATTTTTCTGCCTCCTCAATAACGACATTATTCGTCTCAACGGCCTATATACCAGTTAGCCATAGCAGGCGGCATCAGCAAAAAATAGACCGAACCCAACCTCTTGCAGCCAGTGGAAAGGCGCTTTCTGCGTCTTCTGGACATCATATAACTTCGGATCGTCGTCGAAAAGCGGCCCATCTGTTGGTGCACCAGCGTGTGATGAGAAGATTTTCGCACCAGTAGTCTACACCAGTCAGCCCACGACACAGCCCCCTCACACTACCACAAGTAACTCACATGCAAGAAATGCACATCCACACCCGTCTTCCGCTTCAACTCCGCCAGAGCCTTGAAGAAACAGATCTGAGACTCCGTACCAACTGGACTGAACAAATGAAACACGACACTAAGCTCATGCTCCAGCACGGCCTCGCGCACCGCGGTCTCATCCCAGGCGTTGAACAAAAGCGGCTCAGCACCATACTGTCTCACAGCCTCAGCCTGTTCAGGCGTGCGCACAAGTGCGTACAGCTTCTTGTACGGAGGGAGTTTCGCCTCCTGCCATCGCGCGAGCAGGCTCCCGCCGAGGTAGCCTGAGCCGCCGGTGATCAGGATGTTATGCGACATGATGGATTGGGGCGGGGATGTACTTTGAAGCGCCGTGTAACTGTGACGTCAATACAATTCTTTGCGCATGCACCCTTTACAGCATTCTCTATATAAGATACGGATGAGACGGAGCCGGGCTGATGTGGACCTTTGCACACGGAGGTTGATCCATCACCGGTGACAAAGCTGAGGGCGTTCTATTCTCCGGACTTATTGATTGGCCCGCCTACTGACCTGATAAGTCGGCCGGCTTTGATGACTACTCACAGGTGCGTATTGCTAATTAATGCCGGTAGAGCGGTGCAAATAATTACACCGAACAGTTTGGTTACACCGGTCTGTGCCGCTTCAAAGTTCCAGCGTTCCACTCGTACATGGGGGTGTACCAAACCAAGCAGTAGAGAATGGGATCGTGCACCTGGACCTAGGCTACCACTCGCCATGGAACTCGACCTGTCATCAGCACTGACTATCTCACAATCGATGCCGTAAAGCTTATGGTATACCCTGTGGCTTGAATGAGAATGACCCCAGTTGGCCTCATAATTAGAGGAACCGTAAATTGCAACTCCAAGCAACGCCAGGGTATTTCAGCCCAGCCCCTATGCCTGTAGGAAAACATCGTTCATGCCAACATAGGAATCATAAGCCATCAGCCTCCGCAACGCCTTCTTGAGTCTGGCGCCAACCTCCCATTGCAAATTAAAAATGGACAGGTGACAGTGCGTAAGCCCATCGTTGTAATGAATCAGTATTTGACGAGCCAGCTCATTCATCGTCAACCATCTCGCTGTCTTCCCTTTGCTCCTGGATTGCATCGGCAAGCCATTTGAGCCTCATACTAGACATTTCAAGTGCGGCTCGAGCGTCTGCATCCACGTCTTCTGCAGCTCGGGACCTGCCGCGTGTCTTCTTCTTGTTGACCTTAGCGTGTCGTGCCTCGATGCCAGTCTCCACGGCGTCCGCCAAACCCTCGCTGAAACTCTCCGTGTCGGCACAATGTTGCCAAACAATCATGAGCAGATTTTCGAGCAATATAGACATCTTCGCGTTGTCTTCGGCTTCGATCGTATTCGCCGGGTAGGGCAAGAGACATCGCTCCACAATAGCGGCCGAGATCCCTCCGTTTTCGTGTCGTTCTCTGTCGACTTTAGCAGGAGATAGTGCTGAAGACGGCAAGAAAAGGAACATTATCCCTTGTAGCATGCTGACTTGCATATCAACACTAAGAGTCGATGTCGTACTGCTAATGAAAGATGTAAACACTGGCAAAGGAAGAGACT